AAACCTGCAGAATCTGCTAAGATGTTTTTAGCTGTTCCAACTCCTGACACCAAGGAATGAGAGGGGATGGGATTCACACTAGACCCCTAAGGGGAAGGGACCATATCTTTGGGACCTGGGCCCCAGGGCCCCTGTACCCAGATCTCTGGCATTCACCTGAGGCGCACAGCCCATCCCAGTCAATGCTCCATTTAACTGTCCTTTCATTGTGGCACTCATTGTTTATACCTGGCCCAGCTACTTGCCACTCCCAGGTCCCATCCAGATCTTCCTACAGTCTTTCTGTATAAAAGTACCAATTTTATCCTCATCAAATGCACAGATTCTTAAAATCTGGCCCACTTGGATTGGCATCACAAATACTGAAGACTCGCTAGGAATCTCACCCACCCCAACCAGTGTCATAATAAACTCACAACTTGGACTGAAAGAAAGCTTGAGTGGTTGAACTCTTTCAACCTCTCCCTGTACCCTTGCATTTCTGGGTTCCTAGCACCCCTAGACCACAGCAAGAGAAATATGAAGTTTAAATTATGATCCTTGCTTTCAAGTAGCCTCCAATCTATTAAGGGGATAAGAAACACAAATATTGATAATACATCAAAAGCACATCAGAGAGGTACAAAGTATTCTAGGAGGTCTGGGGGGAGAGTTTGCTATTGACTGATGGGGACCAATGAAGTCCCCATCAGTCCCATAATAGTTCCAGGAGATTCTTTTTTTTATTTTTTCAGGTGAATTCTAGTCATAAAATAACATGGATAAAGTACAGGTTTATAGCTCTCATATCTGTCTGGCAAAGAAGCATAGAATGAGGTATGGTTTTGGCCTCATAAAGAGCAAAACCCAGGACTTGAGCACATGTGAATTAAAGATAGATTTCCTGGCTTGAGGAACCTTAAAGGAGAAATGATTTGAAGAGCTCCAGAAGTGGAATATGTTCCCTCTGTACCACCATGCTTGTGATGCCAATCCAGAAAGGATTTCTGTAGGAAAATTCAAGTCATGAAGCAAAAGCAGCCCTTCCAGCTGGTCCATCTCCCCAACCTCCCAGGACAAGAGGGTAGGCAAGGAGGCCATGCAGGACCTTAGCCCTAGAGAGGTTTACAGAGAGGACAGCATCTGACACATAATGTATAGTTAATAAATGCTTAGTCCTTCTGCTCATGTCAACTCTCTAAGCCTCAGTTTCTTCATCCTGGCCCTTACCATTTGTTTCTCAGGGTTGTTGAAATGCTTTGTAAATGAGGAGTCCCTGAGGTGTGGCAGGCAACACTAGGCTAGAGTCAGAAGATCTGGCAGTTGGCCTCTCCAGGCCTCAGTTATCTCATCTATAAAATGAAAGGGTTAGAGCACCTCTAAAATCTCCTCCAGCTCTAACAACCTAGTATATGTTTCAAAAAAATTTTTTTATAAATAAGCATAAGCAATAATTGTTTCTTCACTAAAGTCCTACACCAGCACTATATGGAAGTGAACCTAGGTTCTCAAAAACTTTACCAACAGATTGCCGGTAGCTCTTGCGGATCCTGCCAGGCTGGAAGGGCCTTGAATACAGGCCTGCTGATAGACTGGGAATCTAGCTAAGTTTGGAAGTTCATTCTACTCTACAATTCAACCTGTATTACATGCCTGCTATATGTAGGGCACATTACTAGGTACTAGAGATACAAAGGGCAAAACCCACCAAATTTTTACCCTCGTTGAGCCTAAGTTGGCCTTTAAGTGATCATCTTGGAGAAGCCACAGCAACTAATGGAACTATTAAGGTGTGGAGAAGTGATGATTCTCTTCCTACAGCCAAGCCTCTGGAGGCTTTAAGCTATGGCTGAGTGGCTCGGTATAGAACAAGTTCCGGGAGCCAGAGTTGTAGCCAAGACAGGTGCATAGCAATGATGGTGGCTAGAGCAGTATGACTGGCCATCACAGCTGGGTCATAGGTTATACCCCACTGCCCAGGGGGTACCACCAGTCTCCCATCAACATTGTCTTCAATCGGGCTGTGTGTGTATGATCCCACCTTGAAGTCTGTGGTCCTGGTCCATAAGATCTGCATGTCACCAACCATTGCCAACAATGGACGTTCTGTCATGGTGGAGTTCAGTGATATAGATGATGATGGTGGTGAAGGGTGGTCCTCAATATGGGCTTACTGGCTAACAATTCCAATTTCACAGAGGAAAAACACGGCTTAGGATTGGAACACAGTAGATGAGAAGTCTTTCTCCAGTGAGTTTCATTTAGTTCTCTGGAATGGGAAAAAGTACAAGACCATCTCAGAAGCAGCTGCAGCCCTGGATGGCCTGGCTTCAGTCGGCATCCCCCTGGAGCCCGAAGACAAACATGCCAGCATGAACATATTGACAGGTGCACTGTACGTGGTCAGATTCAGAGGAACCAAAGCCCAGGTCAGCAGTTCCAACTCATGAGCCTGTATTACTGGACCTACCCAGGGTCCCTGACCACACCACTCCAAGTATGACTTGTACAAAATATCTAATATGGAAATGTTTTACATGATAATACACGTATAACCCATATCTTATTGCTTACTATCTCAGGGAGGAGGAAGGAGAGCAAGGGAGGACAGAGAGAATTTGAAGAACAAAACTTTAAAAAAGGTTAAAAAATTGTTTTAACATGTAATTGGGGGGGAATTTTATATATATATATATGTGTGTATATATATATATATATATATATGTGTGTGTGTGTGTATATATATATATATATACACACACACACACATATATACACACACGTACATATATATATATATAGATATATATATATAGATATATACATTTTTTTTTTTGGTAATCCAAGCTTGGGGGAGAGTTTTAAGTCTGCCTGGGTTAGAGCCACTTGGAGGGGCCAGATGCAAGAGTGAGAAGGGCTTTCTAGTTTCTGACTGATGGAGTGGAGGTGGGTATTAGTAACTATAAGGAACAACTTTTGGGGTTTGGCCTACCTGCCTCTTCCCAGGGGGCACTTCCCTCTATTCTCTCCACAGTACAAACTGTCCCCCTAGGAAAAAAAAAACACTTTCTTCTCCTGCAACAGGTCTGGCCTCTTCCTGAGCCCTCTGCTGTGACAAGGCCCTGTGCTCCAAGGCCATGGGCAGCTGTTGACAAAAACAAAAGCAATCATTATAGCAGGTGGGAGATCCCTTACCAGTGTCACCTCAAATGTTGAAAGCAGGTCCTGGCAACTGAACTGCAGAAGGCTATATATGGTCCAACCATTTCGCAGCAAACCATTAAAAACAATTATGTAATGCCACTTATTAAAAATAAAAAGTTAATGATCTATCCATGGAAGCCTACAAAATAGAACTCCTTTGGAGTTTTGGAGTGTCAGAGTGAGAAGTTTTATCAGCATGCCAGCTTTAATATTATAGTACCTTAGGCAAGTGATTTAACCTGTATATACAGCAACTTGTCCAAGTGTAAAAATGAAGATGATAAATTACACCCATTCTGGCAACCTCACAAAGTTGTAGTAAGACACAAATGAGAGAACTTTTTTAAAAAATGTAATTATGCCTTTTGTTTTTATATCTCCTTCATTTCCAAAGACACCCTTCTCTGGCCATTGTGACACAGTGTAAAAAAAGGAAAGGGGGTGGGGAAGTGAAAGGGCAGCTCAGCAAAACTAACCAATACATCAACCAAGTCTGATAGTGTATGCAGCATTCCGTACCCACAGTCTCCCACCCCTGCAAAGGAGAGAGAAGTGGTACATTTTCTCAATTCTTCTGCATCAAGGTTGGTCATAATTACTGTGTACAGTTTTGTTTTATTTTTTCTTTCCATTTACACTTATCACTGTTATTTTCTGGGTTCTACTTATATTACTCTTCATCAGTTCATATAAATTTTCCTGTGCCTCCCAAAATTCTTCATATCTGTCGTTGCTTATAGCACATAACACTCCATCATATTTATGTATCACCATTTGATTAACCATCCCCCAATCAGTGGACATCTGTTTTCTTTGTTTCCAGTTCTTTGCAACTACAAAAAGTTCTACTGTCAATATTTTTATGTATATGGGACTTTTATTTTCTATCTTTGACCTCCTTTATACTGGTATATGCCCACCACTAGAATCTCCGAATTGAAAGGTATGGACATTTTTGTCAATTCTTAGCATGATTCCAGTTACTTTCTAAAATAGTTGGATCAATTCATAGCTCTACCAGAAATATACGTGTGCCTGTGTTTGTTTTTTTACCACCCCTCCCATCATGTCCCCTTGGCAATTTATATATCTATATCTATCTATCTATATACACACACACACACACATACATACACATATGCACAAGGATATATACAAGTTAAATCACTTGCCTATGGTCCTATAATATTAAAGCTGTCACACTGATAAAACTTCTCACTCCAGTACTCCAAAGGAGTTCTATTTTGTAGGCTTCCATGGATAGATCATTAACTTTTCTTTTTTTTTAAATAAGTGTGTATATACACACACAAATTTTTCTTACTAGTGATTTGGCACAATCTTTCATATGATTATTAATAGTTTGCAGGGTTTTTTTGAGAATTGATCATTTATAGCCTTTGATCACTTATCCATTGCCTCGTGGTCTCATACATATATGTGTGTGTTTATGTATAATATGTTCCGTGTGTGTGTATGTGTATATATATATGTATATACACATATACACACACATATATGTAAAAGTTCCCTATATATCTTGAATATCAGACCCCTAATCAGTGATATCAGTTGGGACTACATTTTCAAAGCATTGCTACATCTGTAAAGCTCAAGACAAATGTAAGGTGTGTCATTTTGGAACTGTCTTTTGGTCTTTCAGAACTGCTGCAGGAAAAAGAAGTAAATCAGAGCAGCATACTCTAAAGGGTTAATGGGAAATGAAAGGATGAATCTTTCTTCCTCTCTCTTATTCCTATTCCATACAGTAACTGTGCCTTAACCTTGTGGGTGCATTTTTTTGGTCAATTTTTCAGACTCGTCAAAATGCAAAGTGGTTAACAGTGGAGATGATGCAGGATGGCCACCAGGTATCTTTGCTAAGTGGAGAGCTGACAGTTGATCAGCGGGCTTCAATCATCCAGAGGTTTCGTGATGGGAAAGAGAAAGTCCTTATAACAACCAACGTCTGTGCTAGAGGTGTGGGTTTTGACTTTTTTTTTTTTAAGATAGTGGTATTGACTGCTTTGGAAAAGCCTATGGTTCTCACAAGCGGTTCATTCATTCTTTCCAGGTTTGTCCTCATCAAGGTTAAGCTCTTCATCTGTTACCTCCAGTCTTCTCATTCATCCCTCTGAAACCCCTGTGGACTTAGGAGAGCACAGGTGGATGCATATTTTGAGAAAGGAGAATTTAAGTTGATGGCTTCATGCTTTTCACTTCAGCACTGGAAAGAAATATTTTAATAGATTTGGTGTAGTTAGGACCTCCCCTCCATATATATTTACCTTAAAGACAGATTTAGGAGTTACCTATTTTTAATCCAGCTTTGTTAAGGATGCTATCCAAAATAGACATTTGTTTGAAAGCAAGCTTGTCTATCCCATTGAGTAATAATTCCATAAAATACTTGGTCATTCGTCAGCTTTTTCTCCTGGGAAAAATTGTGGGACTTGTCAGTCAGAATTACTTGTCAATGTTTCTTTCTTTCTCTGTCTCTCTCTCTCTCTCTCTCTCTCTCTCTCTCTCTCTCTCTCTCTCTCTCTAGGTATTGATGTGAAGCAAGTCACAGTTGTTGTGAACTTTGACCTTCCTTTAAACCAAACTGGTGAACCAGACTATGAAACCTACCTCCATCGAATAGGACGAACAGGCCGCTTTGGGAAAAAGGGCATTGCCTTCAACATGATTGAAGTGAATAAATTGCCCTTCCTTTTCAAAATTCAGGATCACTTCAGTAAGTAATACATTCTCCATAAAGTGAACTATAGCTCTATTGGCCATATTGGTTCAAATATATCCTCCCTCCTCCTGGCCCATCCCTATCCCCAAACGTAGACCACAACCCCAAAATAAGATATTGCTAAAAGGACCAAATATATACAGCATATACACTTACAGAGAATATCGTTAGCAAGACCCAGGTGTTTTTATAAGCCAGTTTGGGGGGAAATTATGTATGGTGTATGTTGAGTAACCCAGAATTACAGCAAATCAAGAGACTTCCTTCACCAAAGATTGTGAAGATTCAGATCAGTTTGCCACAAAAAAAATGATATAGGCATATACATTTTTTGCTGACACACACACACACACACACACACACACACATCCTTAGGAGAAATGTTACTGGCTTTTGTGGTACTTAGGCCTCAAGAGTTTTAAGGCTGAGGAACACAATATTCCACAAACTCAGAAGTACCCAGGCACTGGCCCACCTGTGCACGCGTGATCATTCTTCCGTTTTCCAAAAGATTAATGATTTTACTAGTGGGCACTTCCTCCATTCTGCACTTTACCTACTCCAGCAGATTTTCATCACTATGGCCAAAATAGTGTAACACCTGGTGACCAAACTTTTGAGGACAAGCTGTTCCCTGTGTAACTCAGATGGTTCTCACATTTATACATAGTCTGGTACTGGACCTTTATTTGATACCTTTCCAGGCTGGTAGGACCTCAGAGGTTTTCTACCGGAAGAAACTTTGAGAGCCAGAGTTTCATTGACACTGCAGTGAGACATCATAGTAGGACTTTAGAAGAAGAAGCATACCAATACCAATGTTAATTGATTTGACAGGGACTGTTTTTGCCTTTCTTTGTATCTCCAGCATTTTGCATGGCACTTGGCACACAATAGGTGCTTAACAAATGCTTACTGACTGGCTGAGAGGAAACAATATTTAGTCATATTACACAAGTGTTGATTCATTCACAAAGCAATCTCAGTTTCATTGTACAGACCTTGAACTTTTGACGTTCATTTGTTTAATTACATTTTAAAGTTATCAAATATTTATTTTTTCTTGATGCTACCTCATCTTCCCCCCTGGAAAAAAAAAAGAGAGAAAACCCTTGTAACAAATATGCATAATCAAGCAAGACAGATTCCTCCTTTGGCCATGTCCAAAAACACATCTCATTTTGTGCATCTTGAGTCCATAACCACTGTTAGAAAGTGGGCAGCATGCTTCATACACTAGTCTGCTAGAATCTTAGGTCATCCCTTTGATCAGAATGCTTTAGTCTTTCAAAACGTTTGTTTTTATGATATGGTTGGAGCATACATTTTTCATTGCTTCTGCTCACTTTACTCTGGTTTTTTTTGTTTGTTTTTTTTGGTTTTTGGCTAGGCAACAAGGTTAAGTGACTTGCCCAGGGTCACACAGCTTGTAAGTGTTATGTGTCTGAGGCCAGATTTGAACTCGGGTCTTCCTGAATCCAGGGCCAGTGCTCTATCCACTGCGTCACCTAGCTGCCCCTGCTCACTTCACTCTGAATCAAGCTGTACAGGTCTTCCCTAGTTTCTGAGAAATTATCCCTTTAATCATTTCTTATAGAACTGTATTCATTTACCATAATTTGTTCATCTGGTGCCAATTGATTGGCAGCAGTTGATTAGTCTCCAGTTCTGTGTCACCTCAAAAAGAGCTGCTATAAATATTTTGTACATATGGGTCTTTTCCTTTCTTGGATCTTTTTGTGGCATAGAACTTCTAGTGGTATCACGGGTCAGAGGTTATGCATCCTTTAGTTAACTATGGGGGCATAATTCCAAATTGCTTTTTCTGTCATTGATTTTTAACAAACACAGACTTTTAGGAAAGAAGGATAAAGGTAATTAGTTGAAATAGTGGACTAGCTGTTTTTGATGAACCCTTTTGGGTAACGTATCCAAAGTTCGGAAGTTCCCAGGGTATTAGCATCCAGCTGGTCAGCTACAGAAGACTATTTTTATTTAGTTACTAAATCCTAGAAGTATCATGGCAGGTAGGAAAGACAGAATGAATTCTTTTCTTTTGGGGGGGATGGAAGGAATCATTCAGGGTTAACTGACTTGCCCTGTGTCATAAAGCTAGTAAGTGTCTGAGGCCAGATTTGAACTTGGGTCTTCTTTTTCTTTTTTCTATTTTTTTTTAATTTTTATTTTTTTAATTTTTTTTCCATATGCTTTTGAGTTGAAAGTTTTTCTCCCTTTTTCTGCCCCCCACCCTCCCCAAGACGGTGCACAATCTGACATAGGCTTTACATTTACATACCCATTAAACATATTTTCACATTAGTGAAGTTGTAAGTAAAAATTAAAACCAATAGGAGGAACCATCAGAAAGATGAAACAAAACTCAACAGAAGGTAAAAATAAGTGAGAGTGATTCTACTTCCATAGTTCTTTCTTTAGATGTGGACAGCATTTTCCTTCCCGAGGCCTCTGGAGATGTCTTAGATCCTGGTAATGCTGAGAAGGGTTCAGTTTAACATTCTTAGTCATTGCATAAAGTGGCTGCTATTGTGTACAAAGTCCTCTTGGTTCTGCTCACTTCACTCAGCATCAGACCATATAAGTCTTCCCAGGTTTTTCTGAAGTCAGCCTTGAACTTGGGTCTTCTTGACTCCAGAGTCAGTGCTGTATCCACTACACCACCTAGCTGCCCCTTAGAATGAATTCTTATGAAAGATGTTGGGCATGAGAGCCAACTCCCTCCCTCCCTCTCTCTCTCTCTCTCTCTTCTCTCTCTCTTCTCTCTCTCTCTCTCTCTCCTTCCTTCTTCTCTCTCTCTCTCTCTCTCTCTCTCTCTCTCTCTATATATATATATATATATATATATATATATATACACACACACACACACACATATGTATATAGAGATATAGATATAGATTGTGATATAGACAGAATTAATAATTACTCAAATTAATATGAGATAATCTGATTTTCTAATTCCATAACCTAGATAGATGTTCATGGCCTCATGGGGGGAGGGTGTTGCCCATATAGGTTATGTTTCTCTACATGGATCATGTGATTCTCAAGGATATGTGAATAGGAATCTAGAATCCACAAGGCTGGTCACTCTTCTCTCCTCAGAGAAAGACAATACTGAGCTAGAATTATATCTATATTACCTCCCCCCCAATATTGCTAGCCTAGGAGTAATAATTTTAGGTTCAAGACACTCTCCTCATTTCTTATCACTCCTTCCCCATTAAGGGATGTTGAGACTTCCTCTTCTGGCTTCTAGCTTTGAAAGAGGAAACACTTAATTCCAAATTCTCTTCAGGGAGAGGTTCCTTAAAAGAGACAGAGAAAGATACTGAGACTGACTAGAAAGAAGCCAGAGGAGCTAGACTAGAGCCTCAATCATGTCCCTATCCCCAGTTTACCGTGCTAGAGATTTGGGGGAATTTCTCATTTGATGAGACCTAAAATTTTCTTTATGGTGCTATCTCACTCCCAGTGGGAGAGCTCATTCACTCTGTGCTCTGGTATATTATCATCTGTATAACTTGTTTGATTTCTATTTCCTATCACCTTGGATAAGTGAATTTATTTACTATTCACTAGATCTTTGTGTGACTGGCATTTGGTAGGAATGGAATCAAGCCTTCGGATATATCTTAGGGTACTCCTTCCCTGTTGAGGGACAATGATCAGGAGCAGCTTGAACCTAAAAATTATTTCCCTAGACTAATATATTTAGTAAGAGACAAATAGATATAATGCTAGCCTAGTATGCTTTCCTTGAGGAGAGGAGAGGAGACAGCCTTGTGGCTCCTTTCCTAGCAGGAATCAGTCTCCCTTGGACAAGTACGGATGGAGGAAGCTCTAGAGATAAGTATTGGTGCCTCCGTGTGAGCCATATCTAGATAGATACATGTGAACCCACAAAATCTACATGAGTGACACATACGCTAAAGCCTGTAAGAACCAGTTTTCATGGAAAATACAGCCTCAGTCCTTTGCAATCCCTGTTTGCTTCTGTGGTGACGGTGGCAAAAAAGAGGTCAGAGTATGCTAAAAAACAATTTTTAGACTACAGACTTTAACTAGCTGCTAGTCTAAATGTGAAAACCTAATTAAGTGCATATAAGGTGACCTAGGGTGAGGTAGGGGACCACAATTGTCTGTGGTCATCCTCGCAACTTTAGAAAGACCTTTGCTGCTGTGGAAGGATTATTGTTGGAGCCTAGTCCAGGGAATGTATTTGACTCTGTCGCCTTTTCTAGAACCACGGTATTCTTAGCACATGCCAACCTGACTGCTTCCCTCTCTCCAGACCTTCCAACAGTCCGCTATTGTCATTTCCCTCCCTCAATTTCTGCTGATTTTAATCTAACCCCTGCTCGCTCATCTCACCCCAAGGCTCCAAGATACATATTTTGGAGTTTTTTGGTTATGCTTTGCCTTATTTTCATCAGTTTCTACCTGTTTTTTGTACCATGACTCTCTCCCTTCTCCCTGACCTCTTGAAACACATCCCTCCTTCATCACAGGAGGGACCTCTAATTTTGTCAGCAACAGTGTCCTCGCACCAGGGTCAGTGTATAAGCCTGTATGGCTTAGCAGACAATCATTGAGTTGCTGTGGCCAAATTTTTCATCACTGCATCCTGGTGATGAGCTTCTGCAAATTTATTTAGCTAGCTTGGACCTCAGAAGACTGCTTATAGTCCAGGTTTGGGCCCAGATTCAAAGCCTTTCTAACTTGCTCTTAGGAACTGCTAGAGCCTTTCTGCATGGGCATGGCTTGCTAAAACTCAGGGCCATCTCATCAGCACAGGGAGGTTGGACTTCAGTGACAGAGCACATCTCTATGTGTCCTGTTATTTCTAGTTCAAGGTTTCTGACAAAGAAGCTACTGTAAGTGCATCTTCTTGGTTATAAGTGCTATCATAGTGTCATTCAGAAATGATTGGATAGAATTCATGGCTTTTCTGCCTACAGACAATGATATTGATTTGCCTTCTTTGTCCTTTCACATTCTTTCAGACAGCAAGATTAAGCAGCTGGACCCAGATGACATGGATGAAATTGAAAAGATTGAATATTAAAGTGAAGACTTTGCAGGGGTTTACAAAACACTCCCATGTATGTGTAAACAGATTCCAGAAAGCTACAATTGTAATTTGATGGTTGGGAGTTTTTCAGAAGGAAAACTATTGTTTGTCATACAGCAAAATAAAGTTCCTGATGGTCTTAAGTTTTAGTCCCTAACTCTTCTTCACATCAGTTAAAATGTGGCTCATTGGACAGCATTGGCCGAAGACTCAAGAGCATTCTTTGACCTGGATTTGTCGTCATCTTTTTACTGGTAAATATATTTGCATGAGGGCCTCAACATATTCCAGAATGCACTGATGAATCTAAATAACTAAATCCTTTACCCAAAAATTATATTGAAGCCCTTGAATTTTGCCAGTAGATGGCTGTAGAGTCTTACTAGTTTGTTTATCTTTGTGATGACAGCAACATGAACTTTGGAGCCTAAGTGAAAAGACTAGCACACCTAATCTGAGAGCCTCTCTTTTGTGTCTTTTCCTAACCCTCTTCCCCACCACCCTCTTGTGCACCCCTCTCAGCTTTGGGGGTACTTTAAGTCATTAATTTTAATTAAAAAAAAATTCATATTTATAGAACACTTAAAGGTGTTCGAAGTACCTTCCTTTCAGCATACCTGTGAGTAGAATTCAGGTGTAAGTACTCTTCTCCCTCTTTTAAAGATGTCTGAACTTAGGCCTTGGAGGATAAATAAGTGTCTTGCCTATGGACACACAGCTAAGCAAGTATCTGAGGTGGGATTATACCCACCTCTTTTGTGGCTGATTCCAGGGCTCTTTCCACCATTTTATTTTGCCTCTGCATTTCTGTAGAATTATCATCAAGCACAAACTGTGTGTGTAAGGCACTGGGCTATGAATTATGACAATCTATTGTTTCATTTTTAGCAACTTCCTATGCTTCCAGATGCCATAGCAAACATCAAAACTTTTTTCTCTTTTGCTCAAATTATTTGAAAAAGAAGATGGGCCAGTCAGGTCATTCGAGTGAGGGATAACAGCAAAGACAACCCAGGTTCTCTCCTGATACCTATCAAATGTTAAAAGGCCTCCAGCATGTTGGGCAGATCCTCTGTGGGAGAACGTGAACAAGAACCACACAGAGTGAGAGGGATGGGTCGCAATAAGTACAGAGGAAGGAAGTCCCCCACATTGGTGAGAGCATAGGTCTCCTGAAGAGCTAAAGAAGCAGCAGCTGTTTTTCAGTGGCCTTCAAGTTTTAGTGAAGATGTGATGATACCTCACGGTGTATAGTTTACAAAGCACTGTCCCAAACAGGGTCTCATTTGATCCTCACAACTCTGTGTGAAGTAGGTCCGTCAGGTATTTTATAGGTGATGCTCATCCAAGGGTAAATGACTTGGCAAAAGTCCCACGGCTGTGAAAGCGAGGAGGGGAGGGAAGAGAAGTTTTACCTATTGTGTTCGAGGACCATTGCTCAAGGACTTGGATTTTAGGGCTTAGATTTTTATTTGGGAATCCCAGGTGTTTTCCTGTACCCTCCATTGGGATCACTTATTTCTTGCACATATTTGCTCTTTAAAATCAAAACCCCACCAAGTTCCAAAAGACAGGGTGAAACGATGGTCCCATGAGAGCTCTGCCAGCTTCCCACCCCAGCAATAAGCCTCCCTTCCCATGCTGGCTCCTGTCCCTTCCACTTACCCACTCCTAATGCACGTGCATAAATGGTCAGGCCTTCCCCTTACCTCATAGTTATTATGCCTAAGCGAGCCAGGTCTTATCTTGACATTTTGTGTCCAAATGAACTGATTTTTGTTTTATGCCTATATAAACATTTCTATTTTGAAATATTTGTAATTCTTGTGAGTTTATCTTCCACTCTCATTTTTATGGACATGTTGGGAGTGGTAGGTGTTTAGCTTTCCCACAATTTATTTATGAAAAGTTAATTACTTGGTTCTTAGCCCTACCTAGTAGTTATCAAGCAGATACAGTATCAAATAGTGCAAAGAGCCCTAGACCTAGCCTCAGGTCTTGCCTCTGTTGTCAGTATCCACTACTGGTTATCACCTAACCTCTGTGAGCCTCCGTTTCCTCATTAGTAAAATGCGGATAATAATATTTGTGTGACTTACTCCTTGCCACCACAGGTTGGTTATAAGACTTAAATGACAATACTCATAACCTCGGCTGGAGGCGGGATGACTATTTTTGTTACAGCATGAGGCCCTTTGGGGAGCTCAAAACCTGTTACATTTACAGGTGATCGATATCAATCCTGTTTTAAGAGATGACAGCAGTCGTAAAGCACACAATGTAACTGGGAAGGCAGGAATCGAGGTGCAGGGACAGCTCTCTGTTTGCATTTGCTTTCTTCCTAGGCATTTCTACTGCTTTATCCCATTTATAATTTCTGAACCCCTAGCACAAACTAGGAGTCAATGTATCATGGGATCTAAGATTAAAAGACAATTTAGAGATTATCCATTCTGACCTCCCCAATGCAAGAATCCCCTTTACATCCCCAATCATCTAGTCTCTGATGTAATGTTTTAGGAGTTCACTGCCTCAGAGCATAACCTATTATACTGTATGGCAGCTTTAATTGTTTTTTAATTATTTTTCAATTAAGCATTTATTACCTTTACTCCTTGTAACAAATATACATAAGCAAATTCCTACATTGGCCATTATCCAAAAACACCTCAATCGTTGCTGAAAATTCCTGTGCTAAAGGTTTCATTTCCGAGATATATGAAGGAAGTGTTCATGTTTGTAAGAATAAAAGCCATTCCCTAACTGATAAGTGGTCAAAAGCATATGAATAGATAATTCTCTAGAGCAGAAATCCAATCTATCAATAGCTATATGAAAAAAATTCAGATTACTAACAATTAGAGAATCATTAAATTGTTAAAATGTAATTGTTTAACAGTTCTTAACCTGAAATTATCCTCCAAGTGGTTTCCCACACATTGAGTATCATTCTCTGTTCAGAGGAGAGTTGAGTGGGATTTTTCTTTTTGCTAGACTCACATCAGTCTTGGGATGTCCTGAACACAATTTGACCCATTTTGTTTGGTTTGCTTTCCTCCCCCACCCCCAGTTTAGATCTCTGAAAAAAATCTGCTACCGGCTCTCTCTAGTTACTCTCCTAAGCCCCTCTAGTAACTTCTGTTTAGTGACAGTTCTCACAGGGTCTGCAAACAGTGGACATTCCTCTTGCTTCCCCTTTGCCCTTCTCCTTATATCCTTTTGTCTGGCCACCTGGGAAGCAGCAAAACCATGCTCCTCTCTGTGTGCAACCCAGCTGTCTTAACATTGGTTGTCCAGTCTGGTTAGTCAGTACCTCTCTGGGCTGTCTCATTCAGCTCGGATCACTGCCCAGAACTGGAAGCAATTTTCACATCTCCACTGATTCCATAGTCAAGGTCATCCCCCTCAGTCATTGAAAACCTGGAGAAGAATTAGAGAGAGGAGAAACAGCCAGATGACTTCAGTACATCTGTGAGCTGGGTGAATCAGCTGTGTGTTGTTTGGCATTAAACATTAGAAATCAGTCCATTAAAAACCAGTAGGTGTTTCTCTTGGCCAGCCTGATGCTGTTAACATATTGGAATTCATTATTGTGTTGGGCAGCAACAGGGATTTCTAATGGGGGTGGTAAGTGAGCACCTAGCAAGGAGCTGAATGTACCCTGGTTTTAGGAGCTGGAGCTAAGTCTTCTAATAGGAAAGGCAAATACATTGGCCATAGTCTAGTGGTGTGGCGGGAAGGCTCTTGGACTGAGTAATTGCTCTTGGTTTTTAAGAAAGTGTCAATCCTCTTCAGCTGGGTGATCATGAAAACTTCTGGCCTTGGTCTCCATGTGGTCAATGATGGAAAAGGTTAGAAAACTATTGGGGAAAATTAACAGTTCTTTTCTGAGAGGAGAGAGATAGACAGAGACAGAAACTTTTGCCAAAGCTTAAAGAGCTGTTTCATCTTTTGAAGAGACCTTTTAAATCAGATCTCTTTTCCATCACATAGCAAGCAAAAAAGAAAAATCAGCTAGTTAATGCCAAAACTATAATGAGAATTCAGATTCCTTCACTCAGCTCTGGGCTCTCACCCCTGTGCCAGGTTCCGAGGGTTCTAAATCCCAAATTCTGTAGAGTCCACACATTGCACTTTGGGAACACATGGTAGGAGCATTAATGATTTTTCCAAAAGGTCAACAAAGAAATCACATCTTCAATCCATCTAGCCATACACCTTTCGAGGAATAGTAATGTCTAATGATTTGTAAAATGGAATCAAATTGATGAGCCTGCTCAGAAATACAAAACCCCATAGTTTGACTTTCACCTGCTGTAATAATAGGACCAACTCTTAGGAAGTAGGTATTTATGCAACAAACATGTGCCTGCTATCTGGAGGGGATTGTGCTTGTTGGTATGGAAGATACAAATGTGGATAAAATTAATGTTTTCCTGCCCTCAGGGAACTTGTAGCCTTTAATAAGGGGATAAGACACAAATACAGGTAATTCAAAGTAATACAGTATAAATGCTTCCAAGCAAAAACAAAGAAGAAAAAAGATTTAAAGAGGCAGAGGGGAGCCTTCATTTGAATTGGAGGTTGGAGGTTAGAAAAATGTGGCAGGGAAATCCAGGCTGTCAATGTTTTGTTGTTATTGTTCATTAATTCAGTCATGTGCAACTCTTCATGACTCCAGGGACCACGCACACCAGTACTGTCCAAGGGGTTTTCTTGGCAAAGATATTGGAGTGGTTTTTCATTTCCTGCTCTAGTGGATTAAGGTAAACAAAGATTAAGCTACTTGCCCATGATCACACAGCTAGTAAGTGTCTGAGGCAGGATTTGAACTCAGGTCTTCTGGACTCTAGGCCTAGTGCTCTATCCACTGAGCTACCTAGCTGCCTAAATTGTCAATTGCTATATGAAAAAAAGAAATTCCAAATCACTAATCATTAGAAAAATGCAAATTAGATAACTGAGATTCTACCTCATACCTATCAGATCGGCAAAAAGTGAAAATGACATATTGGAAGAGCTGCAGGAAATCAGGCACATTAATGCATTGTTGATGGACCCCTGAACTGATCTCAACCAATCAATAAACATTTATTAAGTACCTACTAGGTGCCAGGAATCGTGTTAAGCACAGGAGATGCAA